GCATTGATGGATTTTTCAAGTCAGCAGGTGAGACCAAGAATAGATTGTCTGTTTTCTTGAGCAATTATGCCAGGATAAGAGCCTAGAGTAAGGACTCCTGTAACGGCCCCTGCCAATGCACGGCCAAATGTAGAACCAGAAGACAACTGTGTGTCAATAATGACTTCATCATTACATGGAGGCCCCAGAGAGGAACACCGCTGTCGAGTTGATGGGAGCATACCTATTTGAACAGGTAAAGTAAAATAACCTATAGTTGCACATTGATAATTCTGAGGATGAACATTAGTGGCATATTTATCAAAAAAGAACCACATATTAGGATCCTTAAGCTGCCAATCAGCGCATATCGATCCTGTATTAGATTTATCAGAGGCATTAAAAATAGGAAAATTGTCAGGATACATATCAGGAGCTATATTAATTCCATGCAAAGAAGAATTAAAGGTACCTGACAACCAATAGTAGTCAGAACAATAACTATAATTCCCTAGCTTTTTAAATATATAATCAGACCAATTATGAAGCCAAGTGTGTTTAGCGTGACAACAGAAACACAGACCCCTTGTAAATTGACTAACTTTCAAGTAACGCCAACGGACAGAATTCAATTGCATAGTGGGTGTAGAAAATAGCCAGGAGTGTGAAATAGATTGTAGTTGTGAGACAATAAATGTAGAAGACATGATCAAGTTAGGGGTAAAAGAAATTTGACCAAATGCCATTGGGGGCTCATAGTATAAAGTAATATTTGTGCCATGGGTCATAAACATGTATTGGGCATGACAAACCCACAAATTAGGGTTAAGACAAACCACAAAAGTGTCATTTTGAGCAGAAACACCATTAACCATAAACAAGAAAATACAAAGTAAAATGGTAACATAGTTAGCAGTAATAGCAAAAACAGCAGCAACAAGATTTTCAGGAGTCTGAGGTAATGAGGCCTGTTGCAGTTGTTGTTGAGCTTGATATGTAGTAGATTTAACCTGGCCCCAAGTGATGGGTTGCAGGCGTGTCGACCTTGGTAGACGGACTTCCGTGTTCAGATGAAGATTGAAATCCGGAATCGGGTTGTGAAGGCCCTGATGCCATGCCATGATATGGACGAACACAATGCGCTGGAACCCACACTGCTTGTCCAGTAGAAGAATCTTCCACGGCAGCGTAACCGCGACCCCGGGTGATCAGTGGTGTAGGGCCTTTCCAGGTTGGATCTGGAGCTTGGCAATACTTTACCAAAGGCCTTGCTAAAGATTCAGTAGTTCGAAAATGCAAATTAACAGGCGAGTCTGCAAGAGAATCTAAAAAGGTTAAATAATTCCAAGTATATAACGCTACAGCAATGAGATTTTGAATCTTTCACAGATGGTAAGGGCCAGACTCAGTTTATAATTGTTTCTGAAGCAATGCCTTAAAAGTACGATGAGCTCGCTCAACTATAGCTTGACCCTGAGAGTTGTAAGGAATTCCGTGCACTAAAGTAATATTCCATTTCTGACAAAAGGTTTGAAATTCCTTACTAATGTAAGTGGGGCCATTGTCAGTTTTCAACTGAGAAGGCCGACCCATTACAGCAAGAGGACAGGCAATGAGAAATAACATCTGAAGTATGTTCATGTTTTGAAGCAGTAACCCAAAGGAAGTGTGAATGAGTGTCAGTAGACGTATGAAGATAACAGTATGGCTTAAAGGTTGAAAATTGAGTTACATCCATTTGCCAAATTTGATTAGTTTGGGTTCCTCGTGGGTTGACACCTACTGGAAAGGGAACTGCCAGTTGCTGACAAGCTGGACAAGCATGGACAATATCCCGGGCTTGAGATAATGAAATTTTAAATTGCTTTGCAAGCGATTTGGCATTTTGATGAAAATAAGAATGACTGGCAACAGGATCAGCAAACAAAGACGCAACATCCTTTAAGGATTCATCTGCCTTCCGACTTCCTTCAGTCAAGGCATTAGTAAAGGGAGTATGACTTCGAATGTGTTCTACATACAAAGAATACAAGCGAGTTTCCAAACTATTCTTTAAAGATAAAAACCAGGATAACAAATTCTTATCAAAAAAGAGAGCACAATAAGAAAAGGGAAGAGATTGCATAGCTAAATACACATATTGAGTACCCACGATCAAGTTAATAGGTTGGTCATTGAACAATTGTAAAGCCAAAATCACAGCAGCCAGCTCAGCACATTGAGCTGAAGTCTACATGACAGTAAATTTAGAATACCATTGTTGTTGAATCTGCCAGACAACTACACCCCTTGTAGGTGATCCATCAGTAAAGACTGTAAGAGCTTTAGAAATAGGATTTCGCACAAAAATGGAAGAAAAGGCTGGATTTAAAGTAGTAGTAACTACTATTCTAGGATCCTTGGGTAAAGAATACAAGAAGTTTCCCACAAATTGAGAAAAGGCTATCTGATATGATTCTGAAATCATATAACAAAAACAGGAGTATTCCAAGGACTAGTAGAAGGTTCTATATGATTAGCAGCCAATTGTTCTTGAACCAATTGTTGTAAAGCAGCGAGTTTTTGCCTTGATAATGGCCATTGTTCCACCCAAACCGGCGTAGAACAGAGCCATTTAAGAGGAAGAGCCATCATCAAGAATCAAATGGGCATTAAGAAGAGAAAGGATATCACGGCCCCCATTAGTATGAATATCTAGAATGTATGGTTGTAGGAAAAAGGACTTACCAGCAAATGTTGTAACATTAATTTCTTGAACACTCTGCCAAGCAGCTGTAGAACCTACTATTCCCCACAACGAAGAAACTGTCGTTTTTGGCCACTGTACTGGCCACTGTAAAGAGGAGATGACAGTAACATCGGCTGCAGTATCCAATAACCCTTGAAATGGTTGTTTATTAAGGAAGAATATTAACAAAGGACGAGAGGAGTTCAGCTGATGAAGTAAGCCTACAGATAAAGAAGTTGATCCAAATCCTGCATCCCCATGATTACCTATACCAGGAGATGGATTTTCATACGGAAGAAGCAGCAATTGAGCAACAGAAGAATTACAAGGAAGATCTTGAGGAAGATTCACCCAAATCTGAATCATGAGGATACCAGTGTAATCTGAATCTATTACCCCAGGCACAACAAAACAGCCCTTTTTGTGTGCAGAAGAATGAGGCAAAATTAAGCCAACTAATCCCAAAAGGAAAAGGACCTTTAAATTGAGATGGAACTATTTTAAGTTCCATGGGAAATTTAAACTCAATTTCCTCTTGAGTGATTAAATCGATCCCAGTGCTACCGGCTGTGGCTGGGGAGGAGTGAGAGAGACTGTTGGAGGAGTCAGGTAATATTTGCTTCCAATCATCAGGAATCATTGTATAACCATTTTTTATTCCTTCTACAAGTCCTCTTGTAAAATTTCCACTAATCCCATAGTCTGTAACTTCTTTTTTTAACTCTCCTAAGATCTGATAAGGCAGACCCTCCCATTCTGCTGCTTGCAGTCCAACAAACAGGACAAACAGACACTAATTCTGCAAATTCTGTTCCTGAGACAGAGGCATCTTTTTTACAGTTCTCAACCATTTTCTGAAAAGAAGACTGAACAATAGAGTCAGGAGGCTTTTGCCCTGTATCTGCAGGAGCTGAGGGAATTGAAGACATATACTCAGGTGAAGAAGGGGGACAAATGACAGCATTAGTATAACATGAAGGTGGAAGGGTTAAAAGAGAAAGTTCATTGTGACCAAATTTTTCAATTGTATGCCTACATAAATGCCACACATGCAAAACTTCTATTTTTGCTCGAGGTTCAGTATACAATGTTTTCCCTATATGTTCCCAATCAGTTAATTTTAAAGACCCCTTTTCTGGGTACCATAGGCACTGAGCTGCAATCTTCTGGACCAGCCTTAAGAGATTTCTCTGTGGTACCTCAGTATTATTTTTCTTCAACAAATAGCCTAATTCATCTACATGCTTCCTTTGTTCCTCAGAAAGACCCCATACTTACAGAAACCAAAAGGTTGAAGAAACCACAAAGGGTTGAAGGTGCATCAAATCCTTGCTGGACGAAGTAAGAGGGTCCCTGTTCATGCACCACTTGTTGTAATGAGGCAGTCGAGTTGTTTGATCATGAACACCTGAATCACAGTGAACTTTATTGGAGTCTACTCTTGCATTTATACACATTTTTAGTTATCCTCCATCATTGGTTAACTTTGGTTACTGCTTACTTTCATTACTGTTTAGCACAGTAATTAATACAATTAATTATCTCTAGTTTAAGTCTAACATATGTTTACTTCCTCTCTCTAATCCTCCTTTAGATTAGTGACTTTGTTTGCCTGAGTTGTATTTGCTTGGAAACATTCTTTATCTGAGGTTTGCCATACGACATTGGAACATTCCTGCAATTACAACTCTACACGTTATTTTTCTTTTTTTTTCATAGGTGTTTGCATTCATGAACTTGAATGACCACGACTTTTAGCTTTTCTCTGTGCACTGGGTTGCAGTGAAATTCTGGAGTTATGGATATTTTGAGTTTTGCTCACTCATCTGAAAAAGCATTTACCTCTTGAAGTTACTTTGCCTTTGTTACTTACACTTGCCTTCCATCCTATCAGCCTCGCTGAGTACTAACAACTTATGCTCAGTTAAACAAGTGGACACCGATACAACTTGTGTGAACGAGACGCACCGACTATTGTTTACCTAAACCCCGTTTTCTGGAGACGGGAAGCCACAATGTCGTTTGTGGTTTAGTGCGTGATGGGCAGAGAAAAGCTGCCAGCTTAAGGGCTCATTGTTGCAAGGATGGGTATCTCCAGAGTGCCGTATGCGCGACTGATTAAAAAGTAAAAAGACTTTTCCTTTGCCAGTTAGGAAAGGAAAAAAAAATCTTTACTTTTTAAATCAGTCGCGCTTTGAGGACACGACTGAACAAGCAGATTCTTCATGCCGAAGCGGGGCCACTGCGGCGAATGTGCCGCCGCGAATTTGAAGCTTAACGCTCTTCCCGACTCCGGAAGCAGGAAGGCCAGAGTGCAGCGGCTGGACTCGCTCGGAGGGGCCTCTCGGGTCCATGTTGGATCCAGGCGACCAGACCCGCCCAGGCGGTTCATGGGGTGAGAAGGCGTTCGCGCTGTCGAGAGAGTCACCGCCAAGCTTGGACCGAGGCTGTCGCTAGGGTGGGGAATGATACTTGCAGGTCGTATTTCTTGGGGGGGGGGGACCGGGGAGGGGAGGGGGGGGGGATCCGCGCCAAGGGGAGTGGGGCGAGAATCAAGTCCCCGGACCGCCAGGTCGTGGGCGTGTTGGAAAGGGCAACTCGAATGGCTGCTTGCCTTGTGGCCAAATGAATTATAGGGCAGCCTGCCAGCCCATATACGCGCTTCCTGGGAGTGAGCCCCGTTTGAGGTTATAGGGTTGACTTCCCAGGAGATAATCTCTATCAGGTTTACTCGATTAAAAAGCAAAAGGGAACCAGGTGGGATGGAGAAACTCAAGCCCTTTTACTGCCGGTAGGGTGATTGTAAAAAAAAATAATCACAGAAATTCATGTCAGAGGCTTCTGACATGGTGTATTCCGTGCTAGAAACCTGAAACGTGCTTTGAGGGGATGAGGATGGTTTTTTTGTTTTTAAACAGCTTCATGTACTTGAGGAAAGTTCTAAATCAATAGGTAACTAGTGGAAATCATGCAGTTTAATTTTACAAATCTTTCCCCTTATGTGATGTTACTTAGCACTAGGATGGATGGATGGACAGACAGGTGTATAGATTTTTTTAAAATAAAATACTATCTTGAATATCTACTATTATTAAATTTTTGATCCTGATGTTAACTTATTTAAGTTAGTGCATTCAGATAGTTTAGTATGACAGTACATTCTAGGACTCCAGCAAAGAACATTATGATAATATGGAATTATTGTAACCTATGGATTATAAAGTTTTGCATTCCAGTTAGTCCTTTTGACAGTGTCTTGTAATATATGAAATAGCACCAAATAGCTTGTTGACATTTTGAATATATTTAACATAATCAAAAATTCTTATGAGCATCAATAGCAGCTGACATTAAAAAAAATATGTCAGTAAGAACCCTTTTGCCTAATTTTGGCAAGGGGTCAGTATAGTCAACAGTGTGTCTGTGTGTCTGTGTATATACCTATTGTGTACTATTTACCACAAGGAGAAGTTAAGTGCCTGAGTTTTATTGTGAAATAAGAAAGCGATGTAATATTAAATGCTCTAAGTATGTCTTCTAAGATCTATATCTGTCAGAGGGAGTTGGCATCTAAAGCATTTCAGTTCTCACTGCTGAATTGCAGGAACAGTAGACATGTATGTGAGTGATTTTGGCTGGTTTTAGGACACATGTGAGTGGTACAAGATAGCAATTCAACAATAGTGGATAGAGTCTAAAACTGCATGCATATATAACAGGGCTGAATAACCCACAAACAACCTGAGAGCTGCTTGCCATCCCCAGCACTCTGTTTGCAACCCTAGAACACCTGACTATCATGACACTGAAATCCAGCCATATAGTTTTCATTCATCTGTGGGTTTTACGTGTGGGAATAGGAGCATAATCCTCAGTGAGGCAAAGCCTCTGTGGGACCTGATGATAGCTCAGGAGGCCGAGTTGTATCTCCAGTCCAAAAAAAATTGTCCCCTCCTGTCTCATAGTCTTCATTTTTCTATTCCAGCATTTGCTGTGGTGCTCAGAGCCTGTTACAGAAGCTGAATAAAGTGAAGCTCATTTTTTTTCTTTTATTATTTTTCAGTGTTTTAAGTAAGCAACATGGTTGCAACAAAAGTCTATCATTTTATTAAATTTATCTCCCATCTTTCATTCAAGACCTTAAGATATATATAATATTCTCTCCTATTTCCCCCACAACAACCACTCATTGTGCATTTTGCAGAAATGATTGCTATTAACTATTTAGAAAACAATTTTGTTTCATTAGACATTTGCATAGGAAAGGTTAGAGGAAATATATAGTCTTGTGGACCAACCTCAAGCCAAGTGGTGTATACGTACTTATTTTTTACTCCCCTGCCATATCTGAAACACCTTTCAGAGTTCAATACATTTGTACTATAAGTGATGCTTGAATATATATCCACATAAAACATTGCTCCTGTTGTAATGTTTTTACCTCAGAAAACAATCACACTAGCAGAAGTCATATGTCATGCCTATGTTATTTGATACTCATAAATAGCACAATGAAGAAAATATTGTATTAATGCATTTTGTAAAAGTAAATAGAACTTGGCAAAAGCATGTGGAATTTTACTCCTCTGTGCATTTCCCTTTCATTGGGAATTACGCTGGTGTTGATTATTTGTACAAATGCTTGGTGCAACTGGGGTAGATGTCTGCCTCTTCTCTACTCAGCATTCATAAAGGTAAGGTTAGAAGATTAAAACAATGATGAAAACATTATTTTCAAATAATAATGTTGCATATATTAGCATAGTGTTCCCTCCTGTTTATCTCTTAATGAAAAGGCACTTTTGGTCTTTTCCCTTTCATAGAAATAGTGTTATTTTACTCCAGTGCATGATTGCATGGCGTTATCAGACACCAGGACCTTGAAGAGTCCTTTAAGAAGGATTCAATGTTCTAAATATTTGCTCTTCTCCGAAAACATGTTATCAGATTTTCTGTTGTGCAAGTATGGGCTGCTCTTGGTATTATATTGCTGAGTACTGTACCATAAATAGAGCAGTATCTCATGGTAAAAGAAACAGTGACTGTGTTGTAGTAAATGGCACTTCGTTTGAAACATTTTGTGTATAATATAAAGAAATTTTCTTCATTTTCATGGTTTGAGTATTCATTGACTCAATATAGTGTAGATCATATCTGTATCTGTTAAGTTACAAGCACATAAACTATTGCTTTTGCAATAGTGAAATTGCTTTGCATTCTGAAGTTCTGACTCCTACATTTCATTATTTCTTTGTTGTGTTTGATAAAGTAGGACAACATCCAATTTATGTTCTTTGTCAACTATTATTCATAGGCATGAAATAGTTGCAGTACTTCTCCAGAAACTTTAGAGAGTTACAGTAATTCTTGATCTGCCAATTCTGTTTGGTATAAACAAAAGGGAACACACAAGTGTTGCTTGATGGTATCTGTTTGTGGTTGACTGAGATGAATAAAATCACTTTATTCCAAGAATCTAAATGCTGATGCCTTGATTCCATTAATTATATATTTGAATGAACTAGACTTGCCTCTCGCACAGCCAGATTGACAGGCATACTAGAAAAAACCTACTGTCTTCTTCTGTCACCTTCCTTGAGGCACTGGAATAGTTTTTTAATTGTGTTGAATTTTCCCTAATAGGATTTTTCATCAGAGGACATGGAGCTTTCGACTAGTGAACTCAGCATTTATGATAAACTTTCAGAGACTATTGACTTGGTGAGACAGACAGGTTACCAGTGTGGTATGTCCGAAAAGGCCATTGAGAAATTCATCAAACAACTCTTAGAAAAAAATGAACCACAAAGGGGACCACCACGCTTTCCCCTATTAATGGTTCTCTATAAGGTAATACAATTTTGGATTCTCCATGTTTTTGAAGAAAGCGTACAAGTAGTCCTTGACTTATGACCACAATTAAGCCCAGATTTTAATTGAGAAATTTGCTAAGGGAGTTTTTCCATTTTACGACTTTTCTTGGCATATTTGTTAAGTGAATCACTGCAGTTGTTAATAACACTTTTGTTAAGTGAATTTGGCTTCCCCCTTGACTTTGCTTGTCAGAAGGTCACAAAACGCGATCACATGACCCCGCAACCATCATATATATGAAACAATTGCCAAGCATCCAAATGTAAACCACATGACTATGGATATGCTACAACAGTCGTAAGTGTGAAAAAGGGTCATAAGTCACTTTTTTGGTGACGTAACTTTGGTCACTAAGCAAACTGTTGTAAGTTGAGGACCACTTGTACTGCAATTTGAAATGAAATGTCTGTAGATCTGATTAGATCCATGGTTCTTAGATTTTAATGTTTAATTTATTAGTGACTTGTTAATATCAGAGAGTATCTCAAAAGTTGTGGATTTCACAGGTAAAATGAGTAGCAAAGGCAAAGTTGTTTTTTTGATACACAATGTGCTCCTGCCATTGAAGCTTGCAGTCAACTTGCCAGGAGAAATCTGGGTGGTAAGCCAAAGTGCTGACCCTACTGATCAGGTTTGAAAATAAACAAGGCAACAGACCAAATGACCCTCCTCTAAATTACACTTATGCCATAATGTGACCCCTGAGCCACAGTTTGAGAATCTCTCAGATAAAAATTTACATCAACAGTCATTTGTGCTATCGTGCTTATTGTATGGGAGAAATGTTAGATGGAATTAGTAATACTAATAATCTTATTCTTTTCTTCTCTTGCAGGGATTGGTTACTCTGGGAGTAGTTTTACTAACGGCATATTTCATGATCCAGCCTTATACACTTTCACCATCTGAAAACACACTCACCAAAACCCATCCGTGGGGTTCCCTCTTTTATCATATCCGGTTGCTGCCATTACCCATTACCAAGAAATACATGCTGGAGAGTAAGGAAATTATCCAAGCATTTATTTCATCATTAAATTAAAACAGCTGGGTGCTTTACGTATGATAAATGCAGATGACATAAAAATCGCTATTCAGTTCTTTATTTTTAGAATAACAATACATTCTGCTTTTTGTGAAAAGAAAAGTCAAATCTTCTTGAAGTAAACACTTCTTGGTTCCACTCTTATTTTTGTAACAAAACTTAACAAATTAGCCAGTGGTGGGATTCAATTTTTTTTTTACTACCGGTTCTGTGGGTGTGGCTTGGTGGGTGTGGCAGGGGAAGGATACTATAAAATCTTCACTCCCATCCCACTCCAGGGGAAGGATACTGTAAAATCCCCATTCTTTCTCCAGCCCACAAACCTACTTTCCAGCCCTGTTCTCCTGTGCAGGGCAACAAAAGAAGACCCAGCCGATCAGCTGGGACTCGGGAGTCAGAGGAGAGGTGGGGGCAGGGCCAGTCAGGGGTGGTATTCTGAACTACTCAAAATTTCTGCTACTGGTTCTCTAGAACTGGCCAGAACCTGCTGAATATCACCTCTGAAATTAGCTCTAGTGATGATATTCTGATGCTTTGTGCACTAAATAGCATGTCAATCTATTAAGGTATTTTTCCTTATGCTAAAACTATTTTCTTATTGATCTTAAAAGGCTCATTTTGAAGATTTATACATTTAAGTGCTTTGACTCATTGATCAGTAACTAGATTAATTCAGTTTTGCATTTTTGAAGAATGAAACCTAACCTGCTATCACTGAAATCTTGTATAATGAATTTGTATCTCTTAAAACCTATGCAGAATTATACTTATGCCATTTCTGATACAGTTTATACAAGATGTTTTAGAACATCTTTAATTTTTAAAAGGTTAAATTTCTAATGTTTTGTACTCAGCCTTTATTTATTCAAAGTCTTGAAAGACTTGATTTGGTAGTTACTTTATTTCCCACTTTTCCTGTAATCTGTTGCTCTCTAGCCTACTTCAAAGCACAATTCCTATTTTTTTTCTTGATGGGTGTCACTATGAGAGACTAGCAATAGCAGCTTTTCCCAACATGTTTTACTCATTACACTTAAAAAAATTACTTTGGCACGTCTGCTCACAGCTTTAACAAATAGAAGAAAAATACAGTGATTTTCCCAGCAATTTTATGATGCTTTCAAGTCAAGGAAAACTTGGTTTTTCACCATTTTTGTTTATACATATGGGTGAAATATGTGATCATTGTTGTAACTTTATAGTATTACTGTTTACTAAGACATATAAAAAGGTTAATCTGGGAGAGCTGATGTGACATTTACCACTTGGCAAAATTTTGTTTGCACTTGGACTGTGAGAATTAAGTCAAAGGATCCAGAAAGAGAATCTGTCCAAGAAGCAATTAATTGCACAGGGGAGTGGGTGATTTACTTTCATTAATTGAAATATACAAGGAAGGCACTGTTAAAAAAAACTTGGAATAAATTAGTCAACAGTTTTCCTTTCTTAGAAAGTCATAACACTGATACAATAAGCAACTAAGGTGTAAGACAAACATGGGTAAAAAAACTGTCTGAATTGAACATTTGAGAAGTCATTACCACTGAAATGCCTTCTCGATTAGGATAAATAGAAACATCATTTTAGAATGTTGCATTCACACATAATCAGGGAAAAATATTCCTAGGAATTGGCTACTTAAATAATGATAAGTTAATGATAAAAATAAACAGAAGATTCTTGCTCTTAGTGATTCATTTAATAGAATTAAATTCCTAGGAAAATATTTCTAGAATATTGGGTATTTAAATAATGATAAATGAATGATAAACAGAAGTATCTTGCTCTTAGTGATTCATTTATTAGGATTATGTTCTATGTATCACAGTGTCATTTCTATGGACTGTTGGATGTTCATAGCAATAAAAAAAATAAAGACCAATAAACATAGCCTAAGAGCTTGCTCTAGAAAACATAGCCTAGTTTCTATTTCTGGAGCAGCTCTCTAAAAGTATCGAACATGAATGAGTCCAAATCACCTCTGTCTTTAAAGGGGAGATTATTTGGTACATGAAAACAGAAAAATTGAACTTACACTACACAGTTCCAGCTGTTTACTTAGAAAGGTAGGGTGTATCTGGAATTTCATAGAAGAAGCTGTTAAAAGGGCAACTATGTTATATTGTTTCATTCTGTTTTGTCTGCTGTTGATTGGTGGTATTGTGGTCAGTGATTATAATAAAGAATTGAACTGAAGTAAAAAAGCAATTTTGAGGGGGGGAAAGGACAGTTTGAAAAAAATGTAAGACTTTTCTGCTTGAAGGGACAGGACCTGCCTATCACTTTTCATTCAAGCAGTTTATAACACTCAGGTTCCGTTACCCATGTTACTGTATATGCCATTTAAAATATAATTTTTTTAAAAATATATGCCATTTAAAATATAATTTTATTTTACCATGTCTTGGAAGGAAGTCTTTTTTTTGTTGTTCATTGGGACATAATGTTAGTAGCATGTCAAGAATTGCAGCCCAAATTTACTATTCTTTCAAATAACTTGTGTTTTGATTAGAAATCATTTCTCTTCTCCCCACCCCCCCGCCCCCACCCCCAAATATTGTTATGTGAGAAGTGAGACCAGGGATGGTGCATAATTCTGTAAGTTAAAGGACATTTTTCAGGTTGTCTCAAGGGTTAACTCACTCCATATTGAACAGCATTCTTACCATAGGCATATGCAGCTCTTTGTCTTTGTTATCTGAATAATTTCCTTCTAAAGTGTGATAGAATACATAGTGATACAAATAAATAGAGGTTAATAGAGAAAAATCTGCTGCCTCAGCTTTTCATAGATGTTTTTTGGTTCTCTGCCACAAATCATTTCATTTATGTATAAAATTTATTGGCTGCCTATCTTATCCTAAGGTAACTCTGGGAAGCTTACAGTTACATTTAAGTTAGAACATAAACAGTTAAAATCAAACATTAAAACCAAAGACACATTGGGTGGGGGGGTTAAGGGAAGATGGGATCAATCAGCCACCTCCATTGTGCTGTTCCCCCACTGTCAAAGTTTCCTGTTGTCCATCACCAAGATACTTTCACAAAGACCAGAGTGTTTTAACTCTGTTCGAAGCAAAAATCAAGAACATGGGGTTATAACCTCAAACTGACGGGAGAGAAATTCAAAAGTAAGTTAGAAAGCATTATTTCACAGAAAGAATAGTAGAAGCTTGGAACCAACTTCCAGCAGAGGTAGTGGGTCTGTAACTGAGTTTGAGCATGCTTGGGATAAACATATCCATCATCTGACAAAAATTAAAAAGATAATAATTAAATTAAAATAATTAAAATATATAAATTAATAAAAGAAAAAATATATTCAAAGGGCAGATTTGATAGATTACTAGATCTTTTACATGTTTCTGTGAAATGGAGATTAAATTATTGTTTTCTGTTTTCATACCATGAGCTTCTCAGAAGTTTCTTTAGAAATTAGCATTATGTGGAGATATTGCAATCATCTTTGAAAGAAACTGCATGTGAGAAGTCATTTTACACCTACCACAAACGCTGTTGTTTTCTTGCCATTAATATTTGGGTTGTGATCAAGCTAGAAAAAAAGGCAAGATTGTGTAATGCCTGAAATGGGAGCTCCCTTAGCCCTAATTTTAATTTGTTATACTCTTATTGTCTTTGAATAATCCATCAAAAGTGTTGAAAGCTCAGTGGTCTGCAATCAAAAATGTGTGTCATCATCCAAAACTGCTTATAAAAAGCATAGTTGATCTAATTCATTCAAGGTGTCAGAACCAGAACTACAACTTGTCCTTCAGTTCTTTCTTGTTTCTGGGGGTAAAGGCCCATCCTTCCATCATATTTAAATATATTTCAGATATATTTAAGTAATGTATACAGTATATTGCTAATTTTATAAATCCTAAAGAGAAGGAGATTTGTTTGAGGGCTTAATTTAAACTTTAAAATATGAAGACTGACTCTGGAGTTTGAACATGTCCCTTAAGAACATATGCCAGCAATATCTTTGAATTGCTCTGATACAACTGAGAATTAATTATGTATTTTGACGGGTATGCACCTGCCTCAATGAAATTGTTTGGAAAATGTGGAACAGGAATTGTCAGGTGAAAAATAACTTTGGCTCCTAACAAAAGAGGTTCAGATATTTTTAGAGGCATCTGATTTTAAAGGATGTGGTAAAGTGCCAATGAAGCATTTAGGTTGGCTCACAAGCAGAGTTCCTTGTGGGCAGTGAGCTGTAATGAAATCTGAAGTATTGTGGTGTGAGAGGAGTTAAGAGTGGTTTTTGTTTTTGTTTGTTTTTGCTCTTTTTTTGCTTTTTTGTTTTGCATTTCAGAACCTTTAAACAATACTTACAGACCCTAATTTATGAACAAGGGTGGAGTCAGTATCCATTCCATCCCTGGAAAAGTTTGCAGCAATAATCTCTTTCTTTGGCAGCTGCCTTTAGCCTTAGGTGTTTGACTTTCAGCCAGTTTCCAGGGCCTTTTCCTATTTAATCCATTTGGATGATCTCAATTAGGGCTGCTCTAGAGCATGCACAGAGATTCCCATTGCAAATGAATACGTTCTTTCAAAGACCCACCAGGAAATAATATTGTCCCAAGGGGATATTGTCCTCTTGCATAATCCAGCTGCAGCATCCTTCCACCACACCGGTGTGAACTGTAGCCCAGTGCCTCAGAGCTATCATCAGGGTTTTAAATGCTGCCAAACATGCTGACTTTTATTGTAAACAGCCCTTATTATTATAATCTGGAACCTAATAGACACATATGTTGGGATAGTTTTTCATGGACAGTCTGCCCTTTTAAAGATGGGCGGTGCAAGTTCTTTTTAACATACTTTGGCAGTTGTTCAGCAGGAGAATTGTTTGCTTGTAATTTCCGACAGCAGAAACATTGTGGGTACCTGGAAAGCTGAAAGCTCTTCTTTTTTGCATTTAGGATCGTTTACTTTTTTTATCAGGTTTAT